GTCGAAAAGGACTATCGACCGCCAGCGCGAGTCCTTGAAGCTGCGAGGATATGATGAGAATATTGCGACGTCGCCGAAGGTTGTGTTTGTTGACGGTACGCTGACCACCGATGGCATCAATGTGGGCGATAAGTCGCTCGAGGACGAAATACGCTCTAGCATTACGCATATCATTCACAACGGTGAGTCGTAGCATGTGTGTGCCCTATATGACCCTTTTACTTAGTTCCCGCCAGCTTGGCGCGTCGACTGGAAGCTTTCCCTGAACACGTTCCAGGACTGCGTTGAGGGCGTGCTTGGGTTAACCAAGTTCGCGTTGTCTTCTCCCCGCCAGGTCATTCCGCGGCTGCTCTTTGCGAGCTCCATCGCGGTCTTGCGCAGTGAGTGCATCGTCGCTCCTAAGCCGTGTACAATAGCTCAATATTCAATACTCGCAGACGATCACACTGACGTGGCTCTGGAATTACCCATCGTCGATCCCAAGGTCCCGCTCGGCCAAGGTTATGCCGAGAGCAAGTGGGCGTCCGAGAGCATTCTATATGCGGCGCAGGAGCGAACGCATCTTCGTCCGATCATCGTCCGTATAGGCCAGATCTCGGGGGGCGTCAACGGCGCGTGGAACCAGAGCGACTGGGTTCCCGCCATCGTCAAGTCTAGCGTCACGCTCGGATGTTTCCCCATGCTCAAAGGAGTGCGTCATCTCTCGCGCATGTCTCCTCGCTATCGCCTATTGACATTTTTCCTTTTCAGATCTGCTCATGGCTCGGTGTTGAGGACATGGCCGGTGCGCTGGTTGATGCTCGCAACTCGGAACATTCGACTCTGCACCTGCTCCACCACCGGCCGATGCCGTGGGACGTCCTTGCTCAGGTCTGCGCGAAGGAGCTTTCCTTGACGCTCGTGCCCTATTCGCAGTGGTTTGCGAAGCTCAAGGCGTCGGTGGAGCATGAGGTGGATGCAGCGCGGCGCAAGGCGTTGCCGGCAGGCATGCTTCTAGAGTTCCTCGAGGCCAATCTGCATAGCACGGACGCCGAGGGTGTGGAGACGTTTGGGTTCACGCGCATCTCGGTAGACAAGATGCTAGAAGTCTCCCACACGCTGCGCGAGGCGAAACCCATTGGAGCTGAGGACGTGAGGCTGTGGCTGTCGTTCTGGAAGTCGACTGGTTTCTTGTAGCCGTATGCATACCGTCGGACTTCGCAACTTGTTACGCACCACATGTTTTTAAACCCTGTTCTCATTAGACGCGAATAGACTTGATTTTGTATGCATTGTGGTCTCAAAAGTTGCTAGACGTTAACGGCATGTTGTGGGTTGTTGGATATTGTACTTACTACTTAGGATGACGGTGTTCTGTTGTCAGAGCCACCGCTGAGCGTCATTCCATTTCTTGTCCTCACAAGAGACCCCCACAACCGTGTTTATAACCAAAGAATATTGCGATGCGAATTCCGACATACACTGTGTGATGCACAAGTAACAACTAGAACGAGAAGGGCTTTGAAATGTAGCAGAGCGTGGGAAAATGAGATGAGTTAAAGGTAGCAATAGCGTAGCAAAAAAAAAATTCCGAAGACATTAGAACAATGGTAGATGTTCAGGCGAGATGACGGTAAGATACATGAGGTGTGCGTTGAAAGATATGAAGCGATATGGAGTGAATGGATTCGAAAGGTCAAAGAAGAGTCCCAATGTCAGAAATAGCGATGCAGAATGCAAAGAACTAGGAATTTTTTTCCCGAAAACGTTAGTCTCCCCAACTGAGTGCGAGGGCACCGGTGTTGCGGATTTTGAAGCTCGACTGAGCAGGGTTCATCGCCGCGTCACATGCATTTTCCTCTACAGAGGATTCCAATTCTTGAACGGTGCGAGCCGTGAAAATCTGCATAGCACGTGGTGTCACCGATCCAGAAGATATGGCCATACTACGTGCCAGAGGTGTGTCTGTATCATCATTGAGGTCATCAGGGTCATTGGTTTGGGCAACGGGCTCGCACGCGTCGGCACGCGGCCCCAGCAAGCCGTCGCCTTCTTTTGTCGGCATGGTGCTCTTCTCGATTCCGATGCCGGGATCTGCATTGTCACCTGGAAATCCGTCGCGCGTACGAGGTCTTCCCCTCGGGCGATGTGGTGGTACAGGCCGGCCACTGCTCACAAGGCGCACATCCATGGGCCGCGCGGTTATCGGATGGGATAAGCGCTCGCTGTGAGAAGGCGAACGGGACGACGACGAGTTCGAGGGCGCACAGTCTGATGCGTGGTCATGTGGATATCGAGCAGAGTCTGAGGCGGAACGGGAGGCGGAGGACGGTTCGAAGACGGGCTTGTTGTGCAAATTGAAAGGAATCGGTGTGTTGACGTTGACCATGCGACTGCTGCAGCATCAACATGATCAATAAACCGATTTCAAGGACGAACGCACCCTTCTTTGGCGCGAACGATAATGCCTAAGCGCTCTTCTATCTGCTGCTGGTTGATGGGCGATGTGTTCGGGACGGCACTAGCGTACCTGGGGACGACATGACAACCCTGCGTATGCCAGCGGTCGCATTACTCACGATGTGGCGTCTGCAGCTTGAAGCAGACGGGACTCCTCGTCAGGAATGACCTAAACGTAATGGCCAATTGTCAAGATGGCGACAGGAACAATTTGGGGGGAAACACACGTCATCACGTCGGCGGCGTCGTATGCAGCAGGAAAATAGCAGCTTGAACATGGAACTGGTCACAAAAATAAATCTACAACAGAGTCAAGGACGACAGTTTGCCGATGACAGAACCGAGGGATCAAATTTCAATTTCTGCCGATCCAATTTGGCAATCGTCACCATATCGGGATTGACACAGCCCTTTTTCAAGTCATTTTAATGCACGCCGAACATTTAAATATTTATACGGCAAGGCTTTTTGTGATGGAATGGTGTGCGGGGGAGTTTGTTTGAGATCTTCTGCGCTCATTGATCTACGAATGTCGCCGTAGAGGATGTCGGCTAGACATTAGAATTCCTAGCTTTTTCCAATGTTCCTGTCGAATGTTCAAAGATATGTGAATCAATTCTCTAGATTCGCCGATTTTTCTGAGTTTCATAGTCTGTAATATTCCGTAAACGGCAATGAGTCCAATGTATGAGTCATGTGGCGGTGTCAATACTTAAGGCAGTGGCCACTGATCGCACAGAAGATGCGACTGTACACCATCGTTGCGTAACTTCTTGACATCTTTTGACCTTCCGAGGCGTGCAAAAAGATTTTTTCTAATCCTCGTCCAGGACAATCGCGGAGCAAGCATGCACATCTCTGAGACGTTGCGCGAGGGCTCGAGCCGTTCGCCGTTGCGTCCGGTGTTCAGTGGTTCTACATCCTACCGCCCCGATCCCCCAGAAAATGTCGACGACGATCTGCACCCTGTCATCCACGCTGGTCGTGTTGCGGTAATTACGGGTGCTGCGTCTGGCATTGGCAAAGCAGCTGCTCTCGAGCTCGCCAAGTACGTTGTTGCCGCTCTATATCCGCAGGGCTTATGGTTGACTCTGCCACACAGGTTGGGATTGAAGATCGCACTTGCAGACGTAGATCAGCAGAATCTAACAGTCGCTGGGAAGGAAGTGGCTACTATCGCTGGCGACGCCAATATCCTTGTTGTGCCTACAGACGTCGCCGATCTGGACGCCGTCGTGCGCCTCCGTGATAAGGTGTACGAGGCGTGGGGCGAGGTCTGTCTGGTCTCACATATCTGCCCGAGCTCGACAACGCCGTGGACGGGCTTCCGTCGACTGCCCGCCCTGGCGTCCAGCTAAAACGAGAAACAGGTCGCCGTACTTATGAACAACGCCGGTGTCGCGGACAAAGGCACTTCGTGGTCCGGTTTGGACACTTGGAAACGTGTGTTTGATATCAATCTTTTTGGGTACGAACGGTGCACGTTTGGGGGGTACTTCCTGCCGGCTAATACACGCCCAGCATCCTCAATGTGCAGCAGACTTTCGTTCTGGTGAGTGAAGCGCTCATGAGCACAGCTCCAGGCTTAGGCGCTCGTTCGGCTAGTCGATGCTCCATCAGGAAAATCAAGCTATGATCATCAACACTGGCTCCAAGCAGGGTATCACCAACCCTCCGTACGCATTTTCGACATCATATGTCGTCATTAAGTGACCACTTGTTAGCGGTAACGCGGCGTATAACACGTCCAAGGCTGCCGTCAAGTCTCTGACTGAGAGCCTCGCGCACGAACTACGTGAACTTCCGCAGTCGAACGTCACTGCTCACCTTTTCATGTGCGTAGCTGTCCCGTCGTTTTCGTCCCACTTTTGTCTTCGAGCCGCACAGTACTAATGACGTTTTCGCAGCCCTGGATGGACATTCACAGGTATGAGTGGTAACAACAAGCCCGGCGCAGAAAAACCCGCTGGCGCATGGACCGCGTCGGAGACGGTACTGTTCATGCTCGATCGTGTGCGTGCGGGCGACTTTTACGTGCTTTGCCCGGACAACGAGACGCGCCACGAGGTCGACATGCTTCGCATCATGTGGTCCGCCGCGGACGTCGCCGAAGGTCGACCGCCGCTGAGCCGCTGGCACCGTGATTACAAGTCGCTTTTCGAAGAGTACATCATTGATGGGATTGCGACTGTTCAGCGCCAGTGAGCCGTGGTCGTCTACAAAAATTATCGGAATTATGGTGCGTGTGATACAGAGGTGTTGTACTGGTGTCTGCCTAATTGATAGACTTAAAAAAATTGCAACGGCGTTGCGTGCGGATGCGCGCACGTATGGACGGACGTTGGTAACAGAATGTAGTTGCACAGTGTACATTAATATTGCAAAACCGACTTAGAATGTTTTGCGCGGAGACCTGCTGCTCTGAAGTCTCGCGCCGCCGTCGACGCCGCATGAGCAACCTCACAACTTATTGCAAGGTGACATTGATACGAGATGCGTAAGCAGAGTAAATTGTGGAAACTTGGAGTTGGAGATCCAAAATCAAGGTGCCTACTACTCAATGTCCCGGGGAGGATTCGAACCTCCGGCTTCTCGGATTGCGTGTTCACCACAACGAGATGATTTGACCACTAATCGACGGGGACATACTAAAACTTAGGTATTTGAGTATGACATACCCATCAGCTGATTGGCAGCGTATACACAAGCATCCCCATTTGCGCCCACAATGCGTCGGCACGTCCTTGCCATATCCAGCGGGCCTTTCAAACGGAAACGTTGTGTGCACATGTTCGCGCCCATAAGCGGCACAGCAGGTCAACAGCATGGCCACCTTTCCCGTCCCAAATCTTTACCCACGACCACTCACGCCCGCGGAGGAGGATGGAAGAGGTACGTTCCCTCATTCTATTTCTTGCTCCTCTCTTCGTCTAACGGAAGTAGCCGCCGCAGCTCGATATCTGGGAGATCATTGACCAGAACTACCTCGACGGACCTCATCCGGAAGCGGAGGACGGCAGCGCCGTCTCGAGCGCTCACGGCGATGAACACTCAGTTGACTTGTCTGGGCCCATCGTTCCTACTGCCAGTCCATTGTCGCAGGAGGACAGGGCTTCATCGCCTACATCGGTGCAATCGGTGCCGCTGATGGGGCAGGTTGAGTCTCCAAGCACGTTCCTGACGATAAAGCTGCCTCCGAGGAACGGCGGACTTGCACATAAATCGTCAGCATCGTGGCCTCCCATGAGACGCAACCCTCCTGTGTTCCCTGGCTCGCACACCCTTCCCATGATGGCGCGCCCTCCCTCCGAAGTAGCCAACTCCGCTGGAGCGGGTTCTATCCCTGTAATTCCGCCCGCCTTCCAACTGAGTGTTCCGATGTCAGCGGACGAGGGTGCCACTCTAAATACAATGCTTCCGTCGATCTCATCACGTGTGTCTACTCATGTTACACTCGAAATTGAATCGGCGGGCTGTGTTGCCCAGCAGGTGGACGCTTCCGACAACCCCCTTCATTGGGCGGTTCCCACGCACCCGGCCCCTGTAGCCGTCGACCATAGCCATGCTCATGCGGTCAATGTCCAGAACCCGATGCTTTCTTTTCAATCTAGCCCGACACTGCCCTCGACGATCAACCACGCACACGGTAATCGTCTGCAAGGTCGGACTGACATGCGTGAGCACGACTTTCCCCGTCTGCACTGCGCGGTTCCACGTGCACCGCTGTGTGGGCCGCCTGTTCTGGCTCCTCCGACGCTCGCGCCTTACAGGAGGTCCCCATTTCCTGCGAGGTACTCGCCGTATCCTGCACTTCGTACGAGCTTTCCTTCCTCCGTTACTTTCCATCGCCGCTCTTTTTCGGCCCCGTGTCAAAGCATGGATTATAGCCAGCTACCTGTCCCTGGTTTTTATCCGGACCCACCGTACCAACACAGCATGTACACTCGTGACCGTCGCAACGCTGCGGATGCTTACACTTATGCCCCACCTATGCCGCTCGTAGATCGCGACCCTTATGATCGGATGACCCTGAACTCGGGCATACATCCCGTATCGTCCGAGGTGCACAGCTTTCCCCAGTCTGGGGGACGTCAGTGGTATCCTGATCAAGAGGCTACGACCGCAGTGGGCCCGTATTCTGCGGCTCATCCTTCGCAAGGTCCATATGGTGTTGGTTTACATTATCCCCTCGCTCCTGCGCCCATGCCAGTGGTGGTCGAAGGGGCTGCGCCTCTTTGGCCACCCCCAATAGTTGCGCCTCCTTCCATGATGGCAGAACCTCCGCCAAACAGCGTCGCTCTTCTCTTCCGAGCTGATGGATTGCCATTACGTAGGCTATACTCAAGTCCAGCCAAGTTGGCGTGCAAATCTTGTCGGAAACACAAGATTAGTTGTAGCGGGCAGCACATGGGTCCTGATGGGAAACCAGATCCACTGGCGGGTAGCTGCTAGTAAGTATTTTTTTAACTCTCGAGTCGCCTCTAGAGTGCATTGCTGATGTCGATGTTCTTTCCCTCAGTCATTGCAAGCGTCGGAACGTGCCATGCATATTTCCTGAGCAGTCGTATCGCGGCAAGAAGCGTCCGACGAAGAAGGCTTCGGAGTCTTCGACGTGCTCATCGGCGTCGACGATGACGGAGACCATCAAGACCGATCAGACCCTCGACCACGTGCCCGATCGTTCGTTATTGCCGTCTCCTGCGCCACCACCCGTCCTCGCTACCCCGAGTCAGTCTGGCGAATCCCTCTCATCACCTCCGCTCGTGGCATCAACTACTCTGTGAACAATACACATTCTTTCATCCTATAATTTCCCTCTTCATTTTTTCTTCTTTCTCGCTCTACCGCTGTCCTGCGCTCTCTCGTAAAATCTCACATTTCATTTCTTCACTTACACTCCTGTCCTGTTGCTGTCGTGTCTTGCAATCCTTCTTTTGTTTTCACGGTTCTCTGTCTGTCACGCTCATTGCTTGTTCCCGCGGCAACACCGCCCTTTATTTATTGATATCTATCCTTTCTCGGTGTAGGAGGTTTACCTGCCGCCGTAACGTCGGCCAACCGTTACTGCACCGCATGTGGGGCCGCGGCTGTCAAGGTGAACGGTATAATGTTCGCCTCGCTTCGCGGCCTTCTATGCGTTTAATCTTCGGTGACTTATGAAAACGTAACGTGTAAGTGTACGACCTGTACGCCCTGATGACTTCCATAAACATAAACAAATACAATCTATTTCGTTATGCTACTGCTGTGTGTCGCTCCAAAGTTGTAGTATGGCGATGTCGTAGTGATGCAAGGTTTCAAGAGTGAGGTTATTGAGTAGAACTAGACCTGGACTATGAAAATGGTAGGAGATGAGAGGTGGATGAGACTCGGGGAGGCCAGGATAAGTACTATCCAACCTCCTGACACCCAGCAAAGTCCTCAAAACACATACAGAAAGGGCTTCATGAAGCTTCAAAGTCTTTGCTGCAGTAGTCTTATTTCTGTTTTGGATCCAATTGGGTAGCACTGTGCTCAGTTATATGGCCATCGGCATCTTCAGCTGTGAGAATAGCCTTGATAGCCTCGGCAGGGTCTAAAGAGAAGGTCGCAGACAAGCAAAAGCCTTGGCAGGATCATCCGAGTCGTCGCCGTCGGCGAGCACGAGAGGAATTCCTCAATGAGCTGCGACCATTGGTGGCGACCGTATCGTACCACCCATCTGCACATCAACAGGCGGTGCGGGTGCATCAACAGTTGAAGTTGCGACGGGGGAGACAACGTGGGAATAGCTTTAGCAACGAGTTCAGTAAAACAGTATGTCGAGCAATCCACAACACAAACAATTAACTTGCTCACATAGGCCGGTCCTATTGAGTTAACGTCGAACATCACTCATATTGTGTGGCGCCTCAAATCCTCACCGGCGATTTGGGGGCTGTCTAACATCTGTATCTCTTCAGAAATCATTTCAGTCATCCTCACGGACGCTATTCCGCGTCACAACATGTGAGAGAATATGTGCAAACATTCAAAACAATTTGAAGCATTTTTTTGAATTTTTAACTCCATTAGAACACTTGGACAAGCATTTCAGGAACGTCTGTAATGTGATGCGATCCAATGCGTACCTCAGTACTCACTGCTCATCCGCAGCGGTCAGAAGAACTTGTAAGAATGCATGCGAGTCGCGGCAACAACTGGCAAATGAACAGAGATCTATCTACATCCCAGCTTCGGCAAGCACATACGAAAGGCTATGACAACGCTCACCTTAGTGCGTAGTAAGTAAGCGGCATCAACGCGAAAGAGGACATGCATGTACGCCGCGGCGAGATCACGAACTAAGGGAACGGTATGAAGGGTGCACTAGCGCGACTTGTCGTCGGCCCTCACAAGGAGGTGAAAGTCCTCCTCTGAAAAGCAGGCGTTTGGAGTCCAGATTATACCTGCGCCCCAATGCTGTCAATAATATCCTCCACCAAAAAGAAAAAAAAAAGGAAAGCATGTGGAGCAGTGGAATCTACGGCACACTAGTGTGGGAAGGGGGAAATGGACACAGATATGCGCATATAGACTGTTTCATTTTTTTGGCGTCGAAGCGCGAGAGGGAAAAGCGGAAATAGAAAAGGAGTGGCAAGGACATGATCGCGTACAGAGTCGACGTGAACGGCGTTGACTGCGCGAGCGAGCAAGTGGCGCAGTCTCATGATCCTGTGGGGACGGGTCACGGCGAGCGACTGCGCGCCTGATCGCAGGCACAACAGAACTAAAAAAAACAATTGATTCATTAATGCGTCGTTTAGAGTTGTACTTCGAATGTAGATGGGAAAATTGTCTCACGCTCGTTCGCGCAGGAACAATCATGGCTTTCTCGAACGAGCGGCTTCCGGCCATCGTGGTTTCCCCAATGCCTTTTATGTATGTATTTATGTATGTACTTATGTGAACAAATCCTGTCCGACAATGCGTTTGACGGGTCGCTTTGTGAGCTTTGGAGGACGCCAGTAAGTCGACATTAGTAACTTATCGATGCACACCCATCAGATTGTAATTGATTATGGCAAGCTTGTGCTCACTGCTGACATCAATGGAAGAACTGAATTATACATAGTGCCGACATCGTCGTCGGTTAGTAAACGTTCGACCGGCCAAGAACCGTGAATAAGAGCACGCCTCCGGCATTCTGTTCATTATCGTCTGAATTGCTGTCCAATGCCCAAAAAGATATGCCCGCAGCATTATTCTATTGTATTTCTCAGCAAACAGCTACGGATTACGATAAAATGTTGAACGTTTACATAGCATACAAACGGCTGCCGACGCAACCGATGTCAAGTCTCGTGTCTAGTGGCCACTGTGCAGGACGCAGCCTTGACTGTATGCTACTGCCGTCAACGTCCTCGTAGTAGGGTCTTAGGGGCGGTCGCGGTTATCTCGCGACGTAATGCGTGGTTTCAGGGATGCTCAACTCTGCATGGAGTATTAGCAGCTGCCGTCTCACAATACCCATTGTGGTATAGCGCTATCTCGAGCTGAAAACGTACCGTATATGGTCTCGCACTTCAACAACCTTGCCGATGGCTGCTAAGACAGGAAAGTGTTAATTAGGTACACAGGTAAAACGTTCTTTTCCTGCTATCAACCGATGGAGAAGTATGAGAAA